TGTATATATATATATATACGGTATATATATATATACAAATATACAAACCCAAAATGTAATTTTCTAAGTTATCTTTTTATTTTTTATTTCTACTGTTAAATCATCTTTGAGCATCTCTTAGACAGCAGGGTTTATCGATATCTAAAAAAAAAAATGCACAACACGTTTGTTGCAGAGCATCATAAGCAATCTGAAAGCTTCTTCTGCAGGTAGAGTATGGGATTTAAATAGGAGAAGTAATTTAGTTAGTGTTTTGAATAATGACATCAATTTCACTGAAAGAAGTGGATACTAAAAATACTTTATTCAATATAAATTTATTAATTAAAATAAATGATTTAAATGGATCTAATATTCTTGGAGTTTAGGGCTTAAATGAAAAAATCTAACTGAATTCTAATCCTTGTCTGTCTTATTTTATATAGCTGGTCTGATTGAAAAAGGAAAATCAGATCAAGAAAGAAAAACACATCAAGAATTTCTAGGTCAGGCGTTCATTCCAATGGCCCAAACGTAGCATTTGTAAAATTTCATGTAACATTACATGTTTCAGAATAATTTACAGAAAATATACAAGATAAGTTTGTCATGATTGGTTACAGAGTAAACCCAATATGCAAAACACACACGGAGGCTGATGAAAAGTTTAACAAGGTTTATTGTTAACACAAGCACAAGAATATTGCACTGGAACTGGTTCAGGCCTGGGGGCAGGTTCACTGGAGTCTGCAGGGATGACAGTTCAGTTAGCACATGGACTGATGAGTTATGAGTCTTCGAGTTTGCTAAGGAATACCTTGAAGGAGTCCGGGTTTCTCTTTGAGAGAGGAAACTGTTGGGTCCAGAGACTGTTTGTTCAGCAGAGTCCAATAACTGCTTCAGCATCTTACTTCTGACTTTGAGGGAGACCTTGATTTGGGTTTCCAGCTCCTAGCCAAGAGCTGCAGGGGAATGCAGAGAAGAGTCTTCAGGTTTGGCTCACGAGGGCAGGCTCGGCAGGTTAAGCTCATCCAGAGCTTCACGAAGAGACAGGATTCCTGTGAGGCAAAAACAAGGAAGAGTTAGAATCTTATCTCAACTGGAGATAGCAAAGATTCTCAGGTTTACAAGGCTCCGGTTGCTAACCAAACTAGATCAACACTGCGGCATTGAGGCTAGGTCTGAAGGCAGGTTAAATAGTGGTGGGTCTTCTGATGATAAGATGGGCCACAGGTGTGTTAGAGGCTCAGCTCAGGAGGACCCACGGCGCACTCTGCTGGAGGAAGGTGGTACAGCTCCAGATCCCAACAAAGTTGAGCTTTTCGTATTTCACTTATTTAAATATTCTGTTATCTATCAAACGTTCGATAAGAAAGACATTTATCAACACTTATAAAAGTTAAAATAAACAGAATTCCTTCTCAATACCAAAGCTTTTTGAAAACATCCAACTCATCCATTTATAGATTGTATTTATATTCTAATATTAATCTAACGACATTTGGAAAGAGTTTTACATAATTTTTCCATGCTCGTTACCACTCCTATATTTCCTGCTCAAATAAATAGCCAACATAACTTGACCACTGAAAGATTTAAACCACCGTCCTTTTTTTCCTTTCTAATAATAAAAATCCCAAAATAAAAGATTTCTCTGTAAAACTATCTCCAAATAATTTCCAAATGTCACTAAGTTGTGTGAATAAATCCATTATTTGATAGTATTGTACAAAACAATTAAAATGGTTTCTCATAGCAAACAAAAAAGATATTTTTCTGAAATATCAGGATAAATAGAAACAAATACAATAACTGAAACAATACCACGTAGAATAAATCACCAGCATTTTTTCTCAATGGTGGCTTATAAAGAAACCCCCAAACAGGTTTCCCACAAGATCAACCTTAAAAATATTCTTTCCAAAGAATATCTTTTAAGTTCAAATTGTTTAAAGCCTTAATACGTCTCTTATATACCATCTTTCCATTAGCATAATCCAGTACTGTTCGTAAACTTTGTGGCTTAATTGAAAATTTAAAGAACAATTCTGTTTGATCAGGTATTAAAAATGCATTGTACCATCCATGTATTGTCCAGTCTTGTTGCCAAGGAGACAGCATATTCCATTTCACATCAAACAATTTCGAGTAAATATCTTTGATTAGTAACTCTGGTTTTCATAAGCAGTTCTTAAATCATTGCCATATGATCCCAGGATAAACCCAATCAAAGTTCCTTGGAGCAAAGAAGTAGATGTCCCATGTCTCTTTGTTTCCGTCAGCATTTTTAAGACACTAGCATAAAAAATTAAAAACACCTTTCACTTTAGCTTGAGTGGTCCAAAATTGATAAAGTTTTAATAAAACCCAAATTACCTACTATTCAGCCTCACATTCCATAACCTGCCCCCACAAAGATAGCTTATGTTGATCCTATCACACAGTTTATTATTAATCTACTTGTGGAGCCAGCAAATGGTATGGCTCAACAATGTCATATATAAATATGCTAGATTGTAGCCATTGGCTAATTTCCATCTGCAGTCCCGGGACAGGTTAAAGGAGAACTGTGTTTTTTGTTTCTTTTTACATTGGTGTCATGATCGGTTACGAATCTGACCCACATGCAGAGATGACCACTCAGAAAACAAGGAAAAGGTTTAACAGGTTTATTGAAGGAGTAAAGAAGTAGGATGTGGAACTCAGTGAGCTGGTGACCCGGAATTGGAAGTGAGAAGTAAGTTCAATGGTCAGTTCAGGTTCTGTGGGAATCTTGGCAGCGCTGATATTTAGCGTAGCTTGGAACTCACGTTTGAGGGGGCCTTGTTAGTCCTTGAATCCAGACTGTGTGGAGAATCCAGAGTTAGGTGCACACGTTCGCGGGCGGACAGGTAGACTAGCGTTGGACCCAGAGGAGCAATGGAGTGGACTGTCACTCGGATTTCTGATGGGAACTTGAATGGAACATTTGGAGGTTTTGCCCTGCTCAGTGTAACTCTGTTTATCCTTCCAGGGGAGAGAAGGTCCAGGTATCCAGTAACACAGGAATGCTTCCTGCCGAGGAGCAAAGACAAAAAGAAGTTAGACTCAGAGAAACAAAGCTAGATTAGACTCAGCTTAACTCAGCTTGACTAGAGTACCCAAAACTAGCAAACAGTCTGGCGTCGAGGTAGTGGCAGCCCCCTGCTCAAATACTCCTCCAAATAATGATCCAACAAGCAGCAGGTGTGCAGGGAGGGACAGCGAAGACAGGGCACCTCCTGGTGGTGGAAAACGGAGACACACAAACAGACCACACAAACTGGATTCCTAACAATTGGGCCCTTGATGTTACGTTATTACATCATATTCTACTCACCCATATGAGTTTTGTGTCATTCGGAGCTGTTCTGAAGATATTCCGTTAAGTTATATCCAAGTAACGTCGTCCTTGGGGCAGCGACTTGAAGGCACAAACTAAACTGTTCATAATGTATCATTTATGGTACGCCAGCATTCATAACATGTGGGTGAATCACTGTCCCCCAGACATCCGCGGTTATATTTTTTATTATATATTTACTTTTAATGTGATTTGGCCCACTTGAAATGGAAAAAAAAAATCTTTTTGCTCATGAGATGTGTGTTGTATGTTGTAAAGCTCAAGTTTGTGTACTTTGTGTCTTTGTATTTGTGTTTTAGTGTTTATGGTAATCTGACTGATTTATATCTCTATATTCTATATTATATCTATTATATCTCTATCTATTATATTTATATCTCTATATTTAGAGAGAAACATTGAAATAAAGAAATTGAAATTTGAGTCTACATTAAACTTTGTAAGAGTTGGAGGGGGGGCTGCAATTTGTAATTCTCATACAAAAGTAAATTATGCTACACTTAACTAGGAGCAGGTATATAATTTGTATAAGAAAAATAAATATACCGGTAATCAGCAGAATAATCCATTGTTGAGGGTTTGCAGGTTGAAGGAGAAATCAGGTGACATTAGAGAGGAAACTGCAGGAAGAGACGGTAAATGAGCTCAGACTGATCCTTCCAAAGCTCAATTTGGTAAAAATGTAATCTAACCTGTTCTCAAGGTAAACAAGCAAACTGGCGTTAAGTGAAAAATCCAGTCTGGTCAGTTGTAAAGAATATTTCTAGGAGTCAGGTCCACCTTGTGGACTTTTATAACAGGCAGATGGTGAGACATAAAACACTAACACCTTTATAAATGTGCATCTTCATTTATACTTTATACTATACTCATCTCAGCTGACTCCTGTGGATACGGAGGAGAAGCAGTTCTACTCTGAGCCTCTCCTGGATGATTGAAAATGTGGTGCCAATAGGTGCTGATCAGAAAAGGAACAAAGAGTGTTTCCAGAAAGTCTGTAAGAACTCTGTAAGTCATGTTCATTAATAAATAAGATTTATTCGATTTTTTAAAAATGGTCAGTGGGGGCTGATACCCAGGGGGTGGTGATGGGTCTGCAGTAAGCGGTTAGTTGCACCCCTGCATACCCCTGGACGAAGCAGTTGCTTTTAGCTCTTATGTTAATTTAGCCCTCTGCTCTTCTGCTTTATGCTCCCTTTGATTTATTTTATAACAAAAGTTCGATTTAGCTACTTTTAATAATCCTGGTAACTTTTATGTTGAAAATATCAACATAAACACTGTATACATTGGAGGTCTAATATAGTGTATTGTTTGAAACATACATTTTGTCAATATTGATGTATTGTTCCTAGTCACAGCTATCTATCCATCTATTTATCCATCCATATGCCCATACCTGAAAACAGGCTAAAGAACACCCAAACAAGCTGGGTTATAGACATGGAAGCAGTTACTTTTTGGATTTTTCCCCACTAAACCCCACTAACTGTTAATTTAATGAGAAAAATGCATATTTATAAAACAACAAAATTTATAAAACAATAAAAAAAAGGAAACAGTTTAAATAATGGTGCAAAAGGGCATTAGTGTAAAAAAGATCAGTAAAGTGCAACACTAACAGGCCCTTTCAATTTTATTTGCCTTGGCATTGATGAAGATCAAATGTCAATGATGTAGCAGGAGCGACTACTCCTGCCCTAAGCAGGCATGGTCTTGATTCTGTTATGTTTTAGTTTGCTCCATGTTTTCTATTTTGTAGTATTTTCTAGATTTATTTTAGTTCTCAAGTTTTTCTTTGTTGTTTTCTGTTGCCCTCTTGTGTGTGTTCCTTTCCCCTCGGCTTCACACAGCCTACATGACCACTTCTTCAGCTTAATTGTTTTGTGCTACATCACATGAAACGGAGAAAGGAACTCACATCAGGTAACAAAAACCTTTAAATAAACCACAAAACTGGAGAAACTTATGAATGAAATGGTAAAATATTGCCAATAAAGAAGTAAAATGTGTTTGTCTTTCTTGTATTCCTGCTGTCCTCACATTGATGCACACTTGAACAACTGTACTTCGTTTTACTGTCAGAGATTGCACATTTCAAAGGATTGTTGCTGAAAAAGAAAAGGCAAGTTTTGTTTTGCAGAACAGAGATATTAATATTTAGTTTAAATACATTTTAGAGATCCTAGTATTTTCAACAAGCGAATGGTTGTTGTTACTGTACCCTGTCATGTCATTATTATGAAATGTTATTTTTATCTTATAGCCTGCACCTCATGCTCCACCTTTCTTCTGTCCCACATGTAAGATTCGTCTGGTGAACAAAAATAAAGATTGTTTTTTTCTTTTAAAGAAATATCAAATAACTTGTTTATGAGTAAATAACTTAGAAAAGACTTAGAGAGGCTATTGGCAACTGTTTTCCACTCAATCAGCTCCAACTTTAGTTAACCTGCTGATTTTAAACAGCTTTCTAAGCTTTCTAAGGTACTTTTCCACTAACAATAAAACCACATAGTGCAGCTGGAGCCAGTAGCTCCTTAAACCAAAATCCTTCAATAGACCAGAACTTTCCAACTATAACGTTTCAAGCTTCCAAACAATCTTTCTTTTGCGGTTGTTGTCTTGACAATCTGGCCTTGATGACAAAACAGCTGTTGTTAGTTTTATTCAATGTGCCAATACTTCAAATGTTTTAGGATAATATCATTGTATAAACTATTCTTCAATTCAGTTTCCTTCATTTCCATGTTAATCCTCATCTGTTAAGACAAATTATAAAAATGTTAAGCTTTATCTATTAAAATCTCAGTCACCACCTCGAGAATAACATACTGGAAATATTCATCAGATGCAATTTTTAAACAATTTCAAGCTAAAGGCTTTAATAAATTCAAATAGTAAACATTTCTGAATATAACCCAACTCTAAAATAAAATAAAAACTTTAATTTCAAATTGGTATTTAATGTTGAAAAAAAGGGGTTCTGCTCACCATTATTTCTCCCAACCCAAAAAAGGATTCCAGCAATTCCAATAAGAATGAGTCCTCCAACACCTCCGGCAACATAAGCAACTGGAAACACTGAAGGAGAAGCTGAGGAGATCCATAAACAAGAGTTACTTTAAAATCTACAGAAATCCTAGAATGCATAAATAACCTAGAATAAGTTCTAAATATTTCAAAACTAAAGTTCAATGAGAAAAATGCTCAATGATGAGTTTAAAAGTTAACAAAATAGACTGCAAAAGAACCAGAATAACAAAAAAGACAGACATCCTATAAACCACTCCATACTCAATAAGATTGCTTTTACCGTGAGTAACTACTGCTAGAAGTACATATGATAAGGTGCTATGACCACTAGCAGCTAAAGTGAACACAAAGATCATCTTAATTCCTCATGGATTTTTCAAAGGTTTCAAGAAATGGACAAACATATTAACTTTGGGGAATTTAACAAGGGGCAAATTGTGTTCTAGTCAAAGACTCTTCAAAACTGCAGCTTTTTTGGTGTTGGAGTCTGAAGTGCTCACTGTTTATCAAAGGTGTAGAAACAGAGGGTGTTGTGTAATGATCTAATGATTGAGCGGCCTCCTTGGAGCAAATGACTTGGGTTTTTTATTACTGATGCTTATTTATTTATTTTCAATGATTTATCAGTATATAAAGGATTAAAACAACCCTTACCCCAATTTGTACGGATTGTGGATTTATCCAATTTGATGATGATGTCGTCTTTAAAACCAGAGAACTTAAACACACAGTCGTATCTCTTCCAGTCTTCAGGCTGGACAGATGAAACGTTGAATTCAACACTCATCTGGAAGGTTCCATCATTGTTTGCAAGGATCTCTCCTTTCTCCACACCCTCATGAATCTCTTCTCCATCTCTTCTCCAGAAAACGTCAGCACTTTCGGGGTAGAAACCTGTAGCATGGCAGGTCAACATAGAGGTGGGAGTCCTCTGGAGCAGAGACACAGAGGGTCTTTCTATTTAAGAAAAAAATAATAATAAAACAGATGATCTTTGTAATAAATTTGGAAAGATCCTGTTGTTGCTGCATTTAAATTGTGTCATAAATATACCTTTCTTCTGCAGAAAGCTCCTCCCATGATTAACATATCTCTTTAACCAGTCGGGACATATATAGATGCAAAATTTTTTATTGTGCTCTAATCTAGCTTTCTCGGTGTCCCATGTGAGTTTTGTGAGTACAGCTTGTGGTTTGAGAGCAGTCCATGTCAGGTTCTTCAGGTCCAGGGCTAAGATGTCTTCCCCATTATAACCATACTGATTATATCCTCTAATTTCTCCAGTCTCCTCATCCCACTCACAGCCATTCATTATCTGCAAAGTGTAGGGACCTTAAAGACAAGAAAAAAAGACATAATTAACAAAAGAATGTACACTAACATATAAAAAAAGGAAAAGAGTTAATCAAAATCATTAAAAAATAAATGTTTCTAAGACAGGAACAGACTTTAACATCTCATATATGTACCACCAAATTGAATTTAACAAGAAAAGAAATAAAAGAAGATAAACTAAAGGCAGACATGTACTGTTTTTTTTCCCCAGTTTGAGGCAAAAGAGACAATATCAAAGTCATGAATAAGGAAAAAGGTTTCTATGATGAGGTTAAATGTCGCCTTTTTTGCAAGGATTATATTGTTTCATACTGTGTTGTTTTACAAAGCGCCTCTAGGTGGTGCTGCATTCAAGACATGAAAAATAAGCTAATAGAGCATCAAAGCACTTCAGTTAAAGAAAGGATGTAAAAGTATCTGGAAAGAAGGCAAAGGCCTCTTTTCTTTAGTATCCAACAGCCACCAATAGATTTATGTTTTTGATTTTGTTGTTTTCATAAACATCTAATGTTTATTATTGAGAGTTGTCTCTAATTGTTCTAAAGACTTAATTGAACTTTTTTTTGTCTGCATGTGTGTTTGTGTGCTGAATTTCTAATAAATTCATAGTCTAAGGAAAAACTAAACTTTTGTGGACCTGTTTCACATGATTAATGATGACAGTTATAGTTTACCTTGTAACAGGAGACGCTGGCTCCCTTTGAGAGTCACATTACACCATTAAATGATTAATAAATGTTATTCTTTTAGTTTTACCTTGAACATGCTATTTGTTTCACTATGCTTTTAAAATCCTACAAACCTTGTTCACAAAATGATGTCACTAATCTGTAATTCATTCTTATGTGTGTATTTCAGTTAGTTCAGTATATATTCAGTTCATAAAGCCGCAGCCACACCTTGACGATTTAGCCAGGCTGATGTACGAAAAATCTGGCTAAAACTGGGATAAGTTGGATAACTTTGTATAAGTTATGAGCATGCTGAAGTACTCTGAAGCATAGTGACTCATGCTGGCACATGTTGACATACAGCAAGAAGGTATGCCAGCGTATGCTCATTTATGGGCCATAAGTTCTAGCTAAGTTATCTGATGGTTGACATCCATTAAGTGTCAGTTACTCATAAGTCATGGTGTCTAGCTTATCTAAAACCTATGAGTAAGTTGTGCGTAACTTATCTCCAACGCATATCAACGTGTCTGATGTGTTTCTAACTTACAGCTACTGTATGATGACGTATTGGCAGCGTTTTGGTATAAAAGTGGGTTCACTGGAGGAAACCGTTCGTTCTCCTCCAGACTTTATCCCCATCATAGGGTGAGCAAGAAGGTGAGTGTGATGGATCCTCCCTGTGTTCACGCCCTCGGCCACGACCAACAAACTTCGTAGCAGACACAATGCTGAATCTGCTGCGACTGCAAGCCTTCTGTCTTTCTTTTTCTTTGTATTTATTTATTTATTTTTTTTATTTTGATGGGCAGTAAACAGCAGCTAGGTTAATATCGCGATCAAAAACATATTTTTAAGCAGGCTGGGCACCTCCGGGTGATTTGCTGCCCCACTCACGTCACTGGCTTGTGCATCAAAGAAATATTTTAAATATTTAGATACCTTTTTAAATACAGCTGTTCTCAAAATGTACTTTTTAATCTGACAACCAAGCTCTAAATGGAATACATTCTCTGACTGATTTGATATGGCTGTATAGATCAGCCTGATTTACCATTTTGGGATAAAATTAATTCAAGTTGACTGACTGGTTTTATTTCAAAACACTCTCAGTCTGCTGAAAAAATTGCTTTGTAACTGTGGAATAATTTTACTTGAAAATATTCTTGACATTATTTTCATTTTTAGCCACTTTTTAAAGTATTCTTAACAATATCAAAATAAGCAAACTGCTTCCTATTTTTAGTTAACTGATAAAATCCAAATCACGTCACTGGCTTGTGCATCATTTCATGGGAATTATGCTGCCGTGCATTAGGAATAAGTTATGCTATCTTTAGACAGAAGTATTAGACATAAGCATAATGAATACTCTATGTATAAACCCAACTACATTGAAAGTTCAGCGTATGCCAGCGTTTTAGAAGATTTTGGGACGTCAAGGTGTGACTGGGGCTTTACAGGTCCCGCTGTAGAGTTGGAAGACAAAATACATGGAAATTCAATCAGTTGTACTATTGCACTGTTCTTTATCATTTACAGGAAATATGGCAAGCACTGTATACTGAAACCTAAAGCCAATATAGGCGAAGAAAACGTGTTTATTAAAAAGCTCCTTACCTTCAGTGAGGTTTAAACGTTGCTTCAAGCTATTCATGTCTGCTTTAAATACATGTTGACTTTGAAGACACCTCTGAGAATACCACTTCAGGTGGTTGGGATTCTTTTCAAACAGTTTCATCATCCAGTCTTGTTTTGGCTTGACGGTCTTGATGTTGCTGTCATAATATCCCATCTGAACTTCATTTATTGTTGCAACCGCAACAAACTCTGGAAAGCCTGGGACTCCGTAGGTAGCAGTACGGAAATATCTCAGGGAATGTTTCACTGAAGGGTAGAAATTAGAATATTTAGTTGTTGTTTTAAATTGTTACCTTTTTACCTACTTTTTTTTTACTTTTACCTACTTTAAAGCTTTGATTTGTATGAATCATTCTACTGCTGAAGATCTTACACTCATAATAAAAACATGGCATTTAAAACATCCATCTATTTTCTGTCACGCTTATCCCAAGTGGGGCCACAAGGGGTGCTGGTGCCTATCTACAGCTGTCTATGGTCTAGAGGCGTGGTACACCCTGGACAGATCCCCAGTCCATTGCAGGACAACACAGAGACAAACAGGACAAACAACTGTTCACACACACACTCCCAGCTAAGGACAATTTAGAGAAACCAATTAACCTAACAGCCATGTTTTTCGACTATAGGAGGAAGCCAGAGTACCTGGAAAGAACCCATGCATGCTCAGGGACAACAAGCACGCTCCATGCATAAAGACCCGGGCCGGGATTTGCACCCAGAACCTTCTTGCTGCAAGTCAGCAGTGCTACTCACTGCATCACTGAGGAGCCCAACATTTAAAACAGGAATATGAAATCTGACCAATAGAAAGAAATATCTTTATAATACTACGGTATATAAATAGTCTTTATCTTTTTTAGACAGAGTATTTTACAGTTAGCAGCAATAATAAACAGGTAGCGATGGCAGCCAGCTGGGTCTAGATACGCAGACACATACAACTAGTTTAATAAACCGTTAGATTTCAGACTCTCACTAATAGATCTTATACAATGTTTTAGTAACTTACCTGCCGCCACGTTATGTAGAGTTATTCCCAACAGAACCACGAAACTCAGCAGCTTCTTCATGATTCCTCATCTAAACTTTCAAAAACACGATGAACTTGATTTCAGCGCGGATCTGATGTTCACCTTTACACAGCTAGAGACATAAGGCTGGAATATCAACCATTACTTTAACCATTAAGAATTCAGCTTTAATGTCAACGTCACTTGAAACGGGAAAAAACTGGACCAGCAAGTTTACTAATGAAACAGAAAGTCAGACAGAGAGGTAGGACTAAATGGTAATATCATTTTTATTTCAGAAAAGCAGCTGTTAATTGTCTTGGGAAAAAAGTATTCGACTATTCATCCTAGTTAAATAAACAGAGATCGATGGATTTCATTCAGTCGGCACATTTATTCATATCTTTGCAAAGAGAGAACAGTTCATCCTACAGCCTTAATGGCACAGCATTCTGCTCTGTTCTGGGCAGCGTTCGTCCCCACCCTACTTACAACAATGAAAAGCAGTCAGAGTCATAACAAATTACAAACACTTTGGTTAACAGTAACATGTTATGAATAAACCTTGAGAAAGAATCTGGATTGTTATGGGAAAAAGCTATGTCTGACACTAGCATAAAAAAGGGAAAAACACTTTTTTCACTTTGCCTTGAGTGGTCCAAAATTGATAACGTTTTACTGAAACTAAAATTACCTACTATTCAGCCTTACATTCCATAACCTGCCTCCACAAAAAAATAAAAACTCTGTGATAGCTTATGTTGATCCTATCACACAGTTTATTATTAATCTACTTGTGGAGCCAGCAAATGGTATGGCTCAACAATGTCATATATAAATATGCTAGATTGTAGCCATTGGCTAATTTCCATCTGCAGTCCCGGGACAGGTTAAAGGAGAACTGTGTTTTTTGTTTCTTTTTACATTGGTGTCATGATCGGTTACGAATCTGACCCACATGCAGAGATGACCACTCAGAAAACAAGGAAAAGGTTTAACAGGTTTATTGAAGGAGTAAAGAAGTAGGATGTGGAACTCAGTGAGCTGGTGACCCGGAATTGGAAGTGAGAAGTAAGTTCAATGGTCAGTTCAGGTTCTGTGGGAATCTTGGCAGCGCTGATATTTAGCGTAGCTTGGAACTCACGTTTGAGGGGGCCTTGTTAGTCCTTGAATCCAGACTGTGTGGAGAATCCAGAGTTAGGTGCACACGTTCGCGGGCGGACAGGTAGACTAGCGTTGGACCCAGAGGAGCAATGGAGTGGACTGTCACTCGGATTTCTGATGGGAACTTGAATGGAACATTTGGAGGTTTTGCCCTGCTCAGTGTAACTCTGTTTATCCTTCCAGGGGAGAGAAGGTCCAGGTATCCAGTAACACAGGAATGCTTCCTGCCGAGGAGCAAAGACAAAAAGAAGTTAGACTCAGAGAAACAAAGCTAGATTAGACTCAGCTTAACTCAGCTTGACTAGAGTACCCAAAACTAGCAAACAGTCTGGCGTCGAGGTAGTGGCAGCCCCCTGCTCAAATACTCCTCCAAATAATGATCCAACAAGCAGCAGGTGTGCAGGGAGGGACAGCGAAGACAGGGCACCTCCTGGTGGTGGAAAACGGAGACACACAAACAGACCACACAAACTGGATTCCTAACAATTGGGCCCTTGATGTTACGTTATTACATCATATTCTACTCACCCATATGAGTTTTGTGTCATTCGGAGCTGTTCTGAAGATATTCCGTTAAGTTATATCCAAGTAACGTCGTCCTTGGGGCAGCGACTTGAAGGCACAAACTAAACTGTTCATAATGTATCATTTATGGTACGCCAGCATTCATAACATGTGGGTGAATCACTGTCCCCCAGACATCCGCGGTTATATTTTTTATTATATATTTACTTTTAATGTGATTTGGCCCACTTGAAATGGAAAAAAAAAATCTTTTTGCTCATGAGATGTGTGTTGTATGTTGTAAAGCTCAAGTTTGTGTACTTTGTGTCTTTGTATTTGTGTTTTAGTGTTTATGGTAATCTGACTGATTTATATCTCTATATTCTATATTATATCTATTATATCTCTATCTATTATATTTATATCTCTATATTTAGAGAGAAACATTGAAATAAAGAAATTGAAATTTGAGTCTACATTAAACTTTGTAAGAGTTGGAGGGGGGGCTGCAATTTGTAATTCTCATACAAAAGTAAATTATGCTACACTTAACTAGGAGCAGGTATATAATTTGTATAAGAAAAATAAATATACCGGTAATCAGCAGAATAATCCATTGTTGAGGGTTTGCAGGTTGAAGGAGAAATCAGGTGACATTAGAGAGGAAACTGCAGGAAGAGACGGTAAATGAGCTCAGACTGATCCTTCCAAAGCTCAATTTGGTAAAAATGTAATCTAACCTGTTCTCAAGGTAAACAAGCAAACTGGCGTTAAGTGAAAAATCCAGTCTGGTCAGTTGTAAAGAATATTTCTAGGAGTCAGGTTGACCTTGTGGACTTTTATAACAGGCAGATGGTGGGACATAAAACACTAACACCTTTATAAATGTGCATCTTCATTTATACTTATACTCATCTCTTGCTTCATCCAGCTCTGCTGGGAGAAGCCTGAGGAGCTCCTAGGCCAGCAGAGAGATATTGTCCCCTCTGCATGTCCTGGATCACCCCCTTGGCCTCCTCCCAGTGGGACGTGCATGAAACTTGTTAGATTCAAAATATTGTGAGTTCATATTTCATATAGGACAAAAATTAATCTGAAGCACAAAGGGTTTTTCAAACAGAGCTTTTCCTGCAGGAATGAGAAAGGCTGCTGCTCACATCCCAGCACCCTTCTGACCCCCAACAGAACAGCAGAGTCTTTTATTCACAGAGCAGGGTTTTATGACCCTAGAATGACCAACTGGCTGAGAGGCAGGTCATAAAAGTTTATGACCCTGTAAATGCCTTCTGGCTGAAGGCAAGTCTAGAATGAACCTCCTGATTGAATCACAGGACAGAATGTAGCATCTTATTTCTTTAATGTTTCATATGCACACACATTAACTTTATAATCATTATTTGGTTAAACCTAACAAAACTCCTCCGGGGCAACAGAAAAAGATGTCCAAACCACCTCAGCTGACTCCTGTGGATATGGAGGAGAAGCAGTTCTACTCTGAGCCTCTCCTGGATGATTGCAAATGTGGTGCCAATAGGTGCTGATCAGAAAAAGGAACAAAGAGTGTTTCCAGAAAGTCTGTAAGAACTCTGTAAGTCATGTTCATTAATAAATAAGATTTATTCGATTTTTTAAAAATGGTCAGTGGGGGCTGATACCCAGGGGGTGGTGATGGGTCTGCAGTAAGCGGTTAGTTGCACCCCTGCATACCCCTGGACGAAGCAGTTGCTTTTAGCTCTTATGTTAATTTAGCCCTCTGCTCTTCTGCTTTATGCTCCCTTTGATTTATTTTATAACAAAAGTTCGATTTAGCTGCTTTTAATAATCCTGGTAACTTTTATGTTGAAAATATCAACATAAACACTGTATACATTGGCGGTCTAATATAGTGTATTGTTTGAAACATACATTTTGTCAATATTGATTTATTGTTCCTAGTCACAGCTATCTATCCATCTATTTATCCATCCTTATGCCCATACCTGAAAACAGGCTAAAGAACACCCGGACAAGCTGGGTTATAGACATGGAAGCTTACTTTTTGGATTTTTCCCCACTAACTGTTAATTTAAAAGGAGCTGTTATCCCTTAAGAGTTGATCTGATACCTACTTGGTAACAATACCTTTGGCAGGTTGGATAAATCCACTACAGGAGTGCAGCCCAGGCATGGACAATGAATGTACGGATCAAGAATAGAAATATTTCTGATCTATAAACTTATTCGTAGTAAAATGTCTCTGAGACGTAGCAGTGACCGTCTCTAAAAGTTTCAAATTACTTACCAGATAATATTTACTAGTGTTTATGAAGAACAGACTGGCCCACAGGTCTTCTCAGGGACAATATGTAATTTAAAGCCAATAACAAACATTTTCCTCAGTCTAATAATTTAGCAGTGATATAAATAATTCCTTAATTCTGTCTAATTTCTATATACACTTAATGTTCTGCAAAAATTGGTATATTCTGCTATTTAGAGTCTGAATGTCAGCAAGAGACATTTTGTTTTCATTCGAGCATTAACTTCTATTTCTTAACAGTGTTAAAAAATTCTTATTTACAAATTATCTCAATTTGGTTTTTTATCTGACAGTTTTTTTTTTAAAGACTCATAGCTTACATGGTATAGTATTACAAAAAGAAGTTCGGTATTTTATTGATTACAAATGCAACTCCAAGTATTCAATAGTATACAATAAAACCCATAACAAAATAAGGATGAAATTACAACATAAAACAAGTTGAGAGATTCTAAGAAACAATATTTCAATAAAAAAAACATTTAATTCAATATAAGAATTATAAAGTCAACCTCTACTTTAAGCAAACATATTTTTTACTTTAAATTGTTATAGAAAATTAACAATAAAAAAAACACCAAAATATGAGAATTTGCACCTGACCAAAAATTAAATAGTCACATTCAGTATCAGCAAGAAACTACCAGTCATGAAATATTGAAAGTGATAACAGATTTACCAGCTTTATGAATGTTAATCAAAAGGAGAACCACTTACCAATAGCACATGATGCAAACTTTCGATTTTTTTTTTTTAAACCTCAATTTCAAAACAAAGATCTGTTGCAATAGCAAGAAAATCATCAAAATCTTTCAAAAATTTTGGAAAATTGAAATGTAATTTAAATTTTATTTTCAGCAGCTGTAGCATGCAGCAGTTCCATTTCCTCAGTCCCCATTTGCTGTCATTTTTCTGTTGAGACAATTAGACAGAAATATTATTTATACAATTTTTCTATGTTCAATTAATGTTTGAGTCATGAACACAAGGTAGAGATACAAGCTGCAAAAACAAGACTTTACCAGGTAGCAACGGTGTTTCTGATGAGACGCTGCCTTGGCTTTCCTTTGATTTGTTGCTTTCATCTGATTTGTTGCTTTCATCTGATTCGTTACTAGATACAGATGGTCTTGAGGCCTTGGTACGGTCTATATCTAGAAAATAAAAATGTATGTTAAAGTTTA